TGAGTCGGCCTTGCTGGTTCAAACATCGCTCGATCAGTGGACAGATGTGTTGTGTACTACTGTTTTTACTAAGATCTTACATCTAGGGGAAACGTGCGGGGTAAAGGGTACAGACAGATCGTCCCTGGTTATTACTACCTCTTATTCATATGAATCTACAATTGTCGTCAAAGAATATTTAATTTAAAAGATCTAATCATGTGTTCACACGCCTTCTTTTGTACCTTGTTTTAAAATACCAATTTGCTTCCCATTGGGTTCCATAAGATGTATGAGGACCCCGAACAATTAGGACTTCACTCCATCAGGTATCTACCTAGTACTCCTTCAGAGTTTCCATAACTGGCGACTTTTTTTTTTTTTTTTTAGAGAAGAGGTCTCACTCTGTCACCAAGGCAGTGGCGTAGGCGTTCACTGCAACCTCTACCACCTGGGTTCAAGCAGTTCTCTGCTCAGCCTCTCCTAGTAGCTGGGTTTTTACAGGCACGCACTACGGATGGCCTGCGCTAATTTTTGTTATTTTAGCTAGAGACAGGGATTCACCATTATGCCCAGGACTGGCCTTGAAGCTCCTGAGCTTCAGGCAATTATCCACCTTGGCCTTTCGGGTTCCTTCCCATAGAGTGGCTGGGTGATTTTTATCAGGCAAACCAGGCATTTCTTCGCAGAGTTCTTGCGGCGCTAGACACGGTTCTTGTAACCTGTAAGGCAGGTCCATGTCCCCTGTAGTGCAAATAAATTTGAATAAGCACGCTATTCCGCACGAGAGATGGCAAATAAAGAAAGTGACTGGCACCGTACGGTGGGCTCAGGATGTTAATCGCACTGTCGGTGAGGCGAGGTGGCCGTGGAACATGAGGTCAGGTGATCAGCCTCTCTTGTGTTTAAATATGTGTTGGAATCTGGGTTCGTCTTCTTACTAAATAATAATCAGAAAAAAATTAGGTCTTGGTCTGTGGTGTGTGTTGGTGCCTGTTACTCCCAGCTTATCGCTTCTGGATGGTCTGATTGCAGTGTTGGAGGAATGGCATGACCCGGGATACTCCATCTTGAGTGAGGGCTAGGAAAAGTGAAGCTGGGACTTGCTTGGCTGCATTCCCAGGAAGTTAGGTTTTCCTAGCCTCTAGATGTTTATGGTTAAGGGAACAGGCTAATAACGTTTACTAAACAAACCCATACTTAGGAGTGTCCTGATACCCTGATATTTTGAGAATAGAAGCGTTCCTAATTTTGCTTTAAAGATAGTAATACTGATTCTTGCAAAATACAGTAATTTCAAAAATTAGGCTGGGCGCGGTGGCTCATGCCTATAATCCCAGCACTTTGGGAGGCTGAGGCGGGCAGATCACAAGGTCAGGAGATCGAGACCATCCTGGCTAACACGGTGAAACACCATCTCTACTAAACAAAAATACAAAAAATTAGCCAGGCGTGGTGGTGGGCACCTGTAGTCCCAGCTACTCGGGAGGCTGAGGCAGGAGAATGACATGAACCTGGGAGGCAGAGCTTGCAGTGAGCCAAGACTGTGCCACTGCACTCCAGCCTGGACCACAGAGCGAGACTCCATCTCAAAAAAAAAAAAAAAAAAAAAAAAAATTCTTTATCACAAACCCTTGTGGCAGAGCACATATCCCCATGATCTTTTTTTATCCTATATGTAAACAAGCATTGTACCTAGGTTCTCCTCTTACTTTCGGGAACGCCCTACTGTCTATGGAGTAGATATT